TGTGTGATCTAGTCTATTTCTATGCTTTTGATTATTTTTGTACCAGGACAACATTGTTTAATTACTGTTGCTATATATTATAATCCCATCCAGTGTAGTCAATTCTTTTATTATTCTTTTCATAATAATATTGTTTGATTTGCAGATATTAATATTCAAATTATTTTATTGGCTTCCAAAATTAAATTTTGTGAAATTTAACCTATTGGGGTACTTGTACAAAAAAGATAGCCTTAGGATTTTAAATCTTTAGTCTTTTTGTCCTCAAGTTATCTTTGAAAGTTTTGTAATTTCTTTATATAAACATAACTCCCAATTTTATTTCTTAGTGTTTTATATTTTTGTTGCTGTAATAAAAAAATATATTTTTACATTATATTTTCTTTGGAATGGCACTTGAGTTTTTTATATTCTACTTTTGTGCCTTTCTGGTTACTTATTCTTTCATAATTTATTGAGATATAATTGACATATGACATTGTGTAAGTTTGTGTACAATTTATATATATATTGAATTTATATATTGAATTTATATAATTTTTATATTACTGCCATAGCTTAGCTAACACTGCTATCATATCACATAATTATTTCTTTTTTGTTGTGGGAAGAATTAAGTCTCTTACCAACTTTGAAGTTTATAGTATTGTTGACTTATAATCACCATGCTATGTATTGAATCTCCAGGACTTACTTAACTACTAGTTGGAAGTTTCTACCCCTAAACAACATCTTCCCAATATCCCCATCCTCCAGCCTCTGGTAACCACCGTTGCACTCTCTGCTTTTTGTTTTTTTAGATCCCACGTATTTGTCTTTTTAACTCATTATTCCTTTGATTCATAACTTAAAACATTGGCCAGAACTTTCAGAACAATATTAAATAAAAATGATGACAAATGGCGTCCTTGTGAGGTTCTGAATTAAATATAACATAAAAAGTATAGTACTCTGATGATTGGTACAAAGGAAGTGAAAATGAATTGTGTTTAGAACAAAGAATATTTCCAGTTCTCTAGGAAAGGTCCTATAGGATGAGTTCCATACAGCTTTAGTTCTTCAGGGTCTTTGAACAACATCATGTGCTCTTAGATGGTAATACTGAAGAAGTATTTTGTCCATATTTCCTTCCTTCCTTCCTTGTCCATATTTTCTAGAAATCTTAAAATATAGCTGGAGGGTTAGGGCTATCACAGTTAAAATCATTGCTGAATCTTTTTTTTTTTTTTTTAAAGATTTTATTTATTTATTTGAGAGAGAGACAGAGACTGCGAGAGAGGGAACACAGCAGGGGGAGTGGGAGAGGGAGAAGCAGGCTTCCCGCCAAGCAGGGTGCCCCGTGCAGGGCTCGATCCCAGGACCCTGGGATCATGACCTGAGCCGAAGGCAGACGCTTAACGACTGAGCCACCCAGGTGCCTCTGAATCTCCTTTTTTTTTAAATTATGAAGAACTTATGAAGCAAAAACAAGGTGCTGTATACACTCATGCAATTAGTTGGTAAATACATTTTTTTTAAGAACTCAGAGATTAGGGAGATCGTCATGGGCTGGTGTGGGACTAGATTGGAATTGTGCAGATTATCATAAATGGAGATGGGAAGTGAGATTATTACATTGACTACAATGAACATGACCAGATCATGAAATTAATCTTGGTCCTGTCTCTGGCTCATACCACAGTTAACTAAGAGCATTCCAAAGATTATTGCTAGCTTGGCTGAGAATTTAGTTTTATAGATTCTAAATAGGTTTATAAAAGAGGTTCTTAAGTTTTTCCCCTGTGAAGAAGTGATCACATTGTGACATGAATGTAATTAATTATATGGTGAACCCAAAATGGGAAATTCTCATTAGCTGAGAGTGACTGTTTGATATGGAACATTTCTGCATTTATTCTTTTGTTGTTGTTGCTGCTGCTGTTCTCATCCCATGGCATTGTCTGCATTTTAAGTATTAGTATGAATGCATCCAGGAGTGTTTTATTATTGTTTGCAGCAATTTTATTTAGAATTCTTATACTGAATTATCTTTCTTTTTTTTTTAAAGATTTTTATTTATTTATTTGAGAAAGAGAGCGTGAAAGAGAGAGAGAGAGCCTGAGAAGGGGGAGGGGCAGAGGGAGAAGCAGACCCCCTGCTGAGCAGGGAGCCCGACAGAGGACTCGATCCTCAGACTCCAGGATCATGACCTGAGCTGAAGGCAGTTGCTTAACCAACTGAGCCACGCAGGTGCCCCCTGAATTATCTTTATGCTGTATGCTGCAGAATATATGGATGAGACTGAAATGTATCAACTTAACTAACCTGAATTTGAAAGTAAAGTTCAGTTTTACCATGACATTCTGGAGTATATAGTGTAACAGGGACTTAATACTGAATAGTATCGTCATTTAATCATCTTGATTTCATTTTATCATTATTATCTTTTTTTTTTTTTTACCATTTTACTATTAGGATTTATCTTGTTTTATTATTCAGAGATTACAGGAAAGTGTAAGTGTGTCATTCTACTTTCTCAGGTTTCATGCAGGTTGCAAATTTTTTGGGTTTTAACTGAGCTAATGTTGAATGTCTTGGCTTAGATTGCTGAGAATTGTAATCAAGAACAATAAAAAATGAAATCCTTTCAAACACTTTAGATCTCTTTGGCCTAGTACTCGCTCTGTTCTGCTTGTGCTTCTTTATGTTGGGGGTGGAGATTGGCTCTGTGGTTGAACAAGGGGCAAACTGGGCAAGCCCCACCCTGACAGTGGTGGCTGACTTCGGAGACTGCAGGTGGAAAGGCTGGGTCTGCCGCCCTCCCCTGCCCCCTTTCTCCTGCTGAGCCACTGATACCTGCTTGCTCCTTTACTAGGACTGAGCACAGTAGAGCCTCATAACCAGGCTTTGTCAGTCACCAGGGATGTTTAGCTTTAGAGTGTATCATCAGTGCCAAGCGCTCTGCCTCATGTTATAGATGCAGTGATCAAAAGTAAAACAAAGCCAGCCCCAGCCCCCAGCCTAATGAGAAATCCATGGCTATAAATCAAACTCCCAGTTGCCTCCCAAGTCTCTTTTCCTTTATTATCCTTTCTCTGGACATTAGATCTGCCTGACGGTTACATTTCCTTGAGAGAGATTCCTAAAACAAAGCATCCTGCATTATTGTCAGTCTTTTCCTCAGCCCTCACTGTGCTAGCATTCCTGCTTTCTCTTCATGCCTGCACTACCAGTTCTCAAGACTTGAAATCTACCCGCCACATAGATCTCTTCTTTGCTCTCCTTCGGCACTGTGATGTATTTTGTCTTTGTCAGGTAGCTCTGTAGAGCAGATCACATACCATTGCTAACTGTGAGATATGAAGTTTGGTTCTGGTCTTGTCACTCTCCTACTGAAAAGGCTAGTGCTTCTCATTACCTCGCCATAAAATCTGTGTAGAATCTTCAGTAGTATGTTCATAACCCTCTTCGTTATCTCCTCCCATTCCTCTTAATGTGCTCTGGACAAAAAGAGCTGCTTTTCTCTATATCACATTTTATTTTATTTTATTTTTTTTAAAGATTTCATTTATCTTTTGACAGAGAGAGTGACAGCGAGAGAGGGAACACAAGTGGGGGGAGTCGGAGAGGGAGAAGCAGGCTTCCCGCCGAGCAGGGAGCCGGATATGTGGCTTGATCCCAGGACCCTGAGATCATGACCTGAGCCGAAGGCAGACACTTAACGACTGAGCCACACAGGTGCCCCTCTCTATCACATTTTAAAGCCACATGATTTTGCTCACGTTCTCATTTCTTTTTTTTTTTTTTAAAGATTTTTTTATTTATTTATCTGAGAGAGAGAATGGGAGACAGAGAGCATGAGAGGAGGAGGATCAGAGGGAGATGCAGACTCCCCGCCGAACAGGGAGCCTGATGCAGGACTCGATCCCGGGACTCCAGGATCATGACCTGAGCCGAAGGCAGTTGCTTAACCAACTGAGCCACCCAGGCGCCGTCACGTTCTCATTTCTTTAAGTCCTTCTCCTTGCCAGTGCACTCAGATCCTTCAGTTTTTTTTTTTTCCCTAAGATTTATTTGTTTATTTGAGAGAGAGAGAAAGTGCGAGCAGGGGGAGGAACAGAGGGAGAGAATATCCAAACAGACTTGTGCTGAGTGTGGAGCCCAATGCAGGCTCGGTCTCTTGACCCTGAGATCATGACCTGAGCCGAACCAAGAGTCAGATGCTTAACCAACTGAGCCACCTAGGTGCGCCTCAGACTCTTCACTTCTTAGCAAATATGCCACCCCCTTTATGACATAATTCCCTAACTAGTCTGAAGTGGTTTCTCTAATCCTCAGAATCTTACAGCCGTTTCTTTTTTCTTTTTCCTTTCCTTTCCTTTCATTTCCCGCCCTCCCTCCCTCCCTCTGTCCCTCCTTCTCTTCCTTCCTTCCTCTCTTTCTCTCTCTCCCTCTCCCTCTCTCTCTCAGAGAGAGGGAAGGAGAGGAGGGGCAGAGGGGGAGAGAGGGTCTCAAGCAGACTCCCCGCTAGTACGGAGCCTGACGTGGGGCTTCATCTCACAATCCTGAGATCAAGACCTGAGCCAAAACCAAGAGTCAGACGCTTAACTGAGCCACCCAGGCACCCCACTTAACAGCCATTCCTGTATGTCCCTTATGACATCTCTTTCTTTTTGTTTGTTTCATAGTTACTTATGCATTAGTTTTACCGTAGTGAAAGTGTCTCATGGGAGGAGTGTTTCCTTTTTTGTCTTTATATCCCTCTGCATGAGGCTTTGTGCCTCACACATGCAGCAGGTACTCAGGAAATAAAGGTTACTGATTAAATGAAGATCTCATGTGGTTGGTTTGGTTGTATTATTATCAGTTCACTTACAAAGTGTTGTCCATCTGCTGTCTGAAAGAATGTACCAGAACCACAAACATTAACCTTACATTGTGAATGCTGTGGTGACCACAACACCGTATGTGACCGTTGCTTTGTTAAGTAACAAGACTCCATTTCCTTTTTTCTCGGACAGGAGAATCAGATGAGAGGGAACAGTCCAAATTGGAAGTTAAAGTTTGGGATCCAAATAGCCCACTTACAGATCGACAGATTGACCAGTTTTTAGTTGTAGCACGGTAAGTATGGCACTGTTGACTCAAGAAATATCTTTTCTTTTAGAAAAGAATTTATAGGTGTATGTATATTCCTTTCCTTGTATTCTACCTTTTCCACTGGTTGTGTTCTTTTTCTAGTTATGTAAGAAGACCTAATTATGTATCACACCACTTCCTAAATATGATGAACCATTAGTTTTTGTTTGAGAATAGATTTATTAATTTACTGATTAAGAAAAATAATGACTGCTTCTTGTAAAAATTTGAGCACTAAGGAACAGTATAAATGAAAATGAACAGAATAAATTTCTTCCTGTGTAAAGAAAAGTATTGCCCAAGATGAGCCCTAGCCCTGAAATCCCTTCTCTTTAATTAGAGCAGTTATCTCTTTTATTCTAGACCAGGATTATCAGGTGTCAGTAATAATGTGCACCTCGAATTCCACTTATGGCACTTGCATATGAGTAGGGCCTATTGCTAAGCATATGGCTTTCCTTTGAGAGCTTTAAGCCTGGCTGCCTGACTGGCTTGCCACCACCCCCACCCTTCCACCCCCTTTAAGAAAATGAGTGGGACAAAAATTTATTTTTATTTTTCAATTATAAAAGTTAAAGATGCTCAAGGGAGAATTACTGTAAAGCAGAAAGTAAATGAGTTTATCATAGCATTGTAAATAGTGGAAAAATTGATAAATAAATTGAGTCATACTCCGTGGTGGAATATTACTTTACAACAGTGAAAATGAATGAATTAGAGGGATATATAGCGAATAGGTAAATCTCAAAAATAATGTTGAGTGAGGATACACACAGTATGATCACTTATAAAAAGTTTTACAATGTAAAAACAATGTCTGATTTCATGAACGGGCATATAGATACACATGCTTATTATATGTATGTATGAGTTCTGGCAATGTGTATAGGAGGCTTTAAAATTTCTAATATTTATTTCCTTAAAAAATGAACCAAACATGGCAAAATATTAGAATCAGGTAGATATAGACATGATAGAAGGGTCTTCATTATGTTCTCTAATATTCTGGTGAGCTTTTATCATAACACAAAGGAAAAAAGGGCCTGAGTCCACCTTAGCACTGTCCATAGTGCCTGTCTCCGTGGAAGTCACACATCATGTTGGCGGCTGGGCATTCAGACTCCAGCGCCCACACTCATAGCCACTGGTGATCGGATGGGGGCCTGAAGTACATTGTTGGGGAAGCCAGTCCAGTGGATAGATGGGATTGAAGATTTGGGAGTGGAAATGAATCATTGGTGGAACCACTGGCCTGGAAACTCCAGACAGGTTACCCAGATGTGGGATTATTTAGTAGACCTTGCAGTTTCAGATTTGATCTTCATTGTTTTTTCCTTTTCCTGATTGCCATGGACCATAACATTTCCTTTTTCCTTGAAGCCAGCATGAGAGACACCAAAGAGATGCATCTGGTGCCTTTTTCAATTTTTGTCTTAAAAAAGATCTTCTAAATACAAATTAAGACCATAGCCAGATACCATTACACGTCCCACCAGAATGGTTAAAATTTAAAAGGCAGTGCATGAGCTGTCGTGCGGGTGGGCGTGCAAGTTGGTATAGCTGCTTTGCTGTCAGAGACATACCCATCCTTTACGTTTCACTCCTGAGTGTATACTCCGCAGACATGCATACATACAGCTGTGCACCAAAGGATACATATGCAGATGGCATCAATGGCGCTACCCAGGTAGCCCCAACTGGGCACAGATGTCCATCAGCAGTAGAGTGGGGGTGGGGATGGGGCATCGTACAAAGAAACGCTCCATGGCACGGAAGATGAAGGAACGCAGCTGTAACCATAGCACGCACGAGTCCACAAATGTATTTTGAACAGAAGAAGCTAGATGTGAAAAGAGTACATCGTCTGCACTTTTATGAGGTTCTCAGATGAGCAAAACTAACCCATGTGGTTAGAATCCATTATGATCGTTCTCCTTTGGGAAGAGGAAGGGAGTACAGATCGGGAAGGAGCACGAGGAGTCTTCTGGGGTGCTGTTGCATTCTGTTCTTTCCCTGCGTGTTAGTGACGTGAAGGGGTTCACTTTGCAATTACTGCATAGCTGTACAGTGTGTGCTTTTGTGCACCTGTGTTATATGTTAATTAGAACATTTAAAAAATTTCTCCCTCAGCTAACATGCCTAAAATACAGACAACAAGGGAAGGGGAGTAAAATGAAACAAACAGCAACAGCGAGTCTTACGTTTATTTCATGCTTTATCTGTGGGAAGGCCTTCTGAACCATTAAGTGAAAACAAGTGTTGTAATTGTGTTTTGTTTTGTTTTGATGGAAATCTGTTCTATCTTGAGCCCTCATAGGAAGAGGTTGCTACAATTGATGATACTTCATTTCAAGGAAAGAATGTTATTGGGATTTCAGAATTTGGGCTAAAAAAAGTGGTCAGAGCTTGTTTTGCAGTAATTGTCAAACTCTGCAGCTTATTTACTTCTCATTTTTTTTGAGCACAGTTCAGCACCAAATTGTTTATTCCGTGGCATTTCATAATGGGTCTTTCCCTTCTTTATGGCACATAAATCTCTTCTTTTCCATTTCCTTATAATGACCCATATATAGTAAATTGGCTTGTCAATGGTTAAATCTTATAGAAAATACTTTTTATTTGATATTTGATTCTCAAACATCCAATAACTGGTTTGACTTTTTTTTCTTCTCCCTTTCCTTTATTTTTCTCCATAGCATGTATCCACCTGACAGCCATGTTTGTTATTTACCTGTGTAAATTTAGCTGTCTTCCTGTTTAAAGAAAAGTATTGCCCAAGATGAGCCCTAGCCCTAAAGACCATGGGAAATAATCCTCTGCAGCCTGTTTAGAGGATTACCTCTTGGAGGCTGGTATACTTAGGGATGACAAATTTCTGAGATTGCTAGATGCAGGCAGAGGTTGATTTCATCAGTGTGCTGTCCCCTGTCTCTGAAGTGGCCAAGGCAAATTGCCTCGTGCGGTCCACTCGAGATCATCCCTGAATGACCGCACCAAGAGCAAGAAGGAAACGAGTCCGCTGCCCCAGAAGGGAGGTGTAGTGGAGACAAACTTGGCCAACACGTTCTTCGCACAGGAGGAAACTGTGCTATCTCCCAGCATGCATTGGAGACAAGGCTGAGACTCACACTCAGACCTCAGCTTCTGGCCCCTGGATCCTCACCGCCAACTTTTCTTTTACAGTTTGCATGCACTACCCAAATGCGTGTTTTCTGTGTTGTTTTTTTTTTTAAACATAAAAAAAATAACAGAGCCCTAATTTTTCCTCTTTGTTTTTGTGGATTATTCAGTGCTGTGGGGACATTCGCTCGAGCCCTTGATTGCAGCAGTTCGGTGAGGCAGCCGAGTCTGCATATGAGCGCAGCTGCAGCGTCTCGGGATATCACCCTGGTAAGATGCTTTTTGAAAGTTAGGGGTTATTATTTCCTCTGCTACTTCAATTTTAAAGTCAGTATTGCATGTTGTAGATGGGAGAGCTTTCTGGTGAAAGAACTTTCTGGCTCTTAGCCCTGCTAACTGCTAGGTTGATTTGGCTTGCCTGATTGGTTAACTGGGGTTAGGGGGTCCCATTCCTAAGTCCCTTCTTGTGTTTGTGAGCTGAGACAAATAAGAATGACTGTTGATGGAGTAGCTATGAAATGGTAGAAGAATATTCGGGGGAAAACAGTTTAACATTCTGACCCATCTCTTTTCACTTGTATGCTGCTTTTCTTGTAGTCTCTCTATGGACTTAAATCGTTGTACATCGTATATAATGCTTTACAGGTTTTTTTTTACCTGAACGTGACCACCTCTTGTTGCTATAGGAGTTATTCAGTTATCATGTCATTATTCATTATCAATATTTAAGTTTTCGTGCCTGTTCACTAGAAAGAGGTTCTGTTTTTGTGCATTTTTCATTACATTATGGTTGCTTCTAAGACTATTTCCTTTTTTCCTTTCATGATCAAGTGAAACTTCTCCTGTTCAGTTTATAGCACAATGCCTGCTGTGGCCAGGCATTGAGCGTGGCTCTTGGCTTCTTTCTCTGCACCCTCCAGCAAAGTGGACCTGCAGGTTTTTGCCAATTGAAGTTACTCTGTATTTGAGACAATAACAGATGAGAAAACTGAGGTTTGGCGAGGTTAAATTATTTGACCAATATCCATTACTGTAATAAAGGTTTCCATTTTTTCTTTTTTCTCACAATACCATGGCTCTTTACAACTAGCTTATTAATGTAGGTCTTCTTGCCTCTGCAGTTCCCTGAGACCATTTATTAATGCTGGTTACACCATCACTCATGACACTACATTATCCATCCTGCCTCTTCTGAATACTAGTTTCTGGTGACTCTCTTTAAAGTCATCACTGTGCTCTGTTGATGATGACCACAAATGCAAGTCTTGCCCAGGATATGCAGAAACATGTGAGCAATAATTTGTTTTCTGGTTCTGTTAAATTTATCATTCAGAATTTTATGGTATAAACTTAAATACATCTTCCAATCCTGTCTTCCTTTCAATTCTTCAGGCCATAATCACTACCAAATAAAATGCACCAAGAGTCCTAAAAATGTCTCCCCGCAAAATATATCCAAAACCTGACCTCTCCTCTCTGTCTCAAGTTCTTCAGTGTTAACCCAAACCGTCTCACTTAGGGTACTGATATTCAGTACCCCATAACAGGTTTTCCCAAGTCTACTCCTACAAGTTTCAATTTTGTTTTCTGATGGAATGGAATACAGTGATAGGTTTTACTACTTTCTGGTTCTATTCCAATTTGAAATGCCACAATAATATAAAAACAACAGTAATATAAAAACTCATACTGGAATGCACATCAAATTCGTTTCTTACAAGGCTTTCTTATACTATAGATGATGGTGAAAGCATGAATACTCTGTAGCCATTATGGAGCTCCTTTCTTTATGCTTTCTCAGAGACTAGACTGTTGTTTATAGAAGCACGTTTTGTTCTCTCCACTGGTACATTAATATTTTATGTAAAAGTTTAGGGGTTTCGAATTAGGTTTATATTTTGTTTTTTAGAACTTGTAGAGTACTTTACTAAAGGAGAGAGAGTACAAGTGTCACATTTGTAAAAACCTTCAAAATCCTGTCACTAGATATTTCTGTGAACCAGAACTATATGGAATCTAATCACCACTTGTATTTTTTTTTCCTGTTCAAGGAGATTTTTTCCCCAATTCTAAAATCAATGTATGCTTTTTTGAAAAATTGACAAAGTACAGCAGCAGCCAAAAAGAAAAGTCTTATTCTCATTACCCAGAGTAGAATATTCTTACCATTTTCTAATATTTCCTTTCAGCCACTCTTTGTGCATTATAAACAGTAATACCAGCAAATTACGGAATAGTACAGAGGATAACATAATAAAACTCCACATAATGCCACCTAAAACAAATGTTAGTATTTTAGTTCTTTGGATTAAAGAAAATTTCAACCATTATACTCTTGTCTCTAATGTTCTCTCCCCAGTTCTGTGCTGCACCCCCCCTCCATACCTCTGACGCCCATCACCCCTGCCTCCTGTCAAGAGGTCTGCTATGTATCTAGTGTGTGTTTTCCTAGTTTCACTATGTATTTGTGTGTCTGAAAACAACAGAAAGATTGTTTTGTGTGTGTTTCGGTTTACTCTGTGACGTTTTGCTATTTGCCTGTTACTGACATCTAGCTATGTTAATAAACACATACCCAGTTCACTCATTTTAACCACTGGGTAGTATTTGTAGTACTCCTTCCTGGAATACTGCACTACATTATTTATGTATTCTCTTAACGATGAACATCTGGAGTGCTTTAAAAACATTTTTCATTTGCTACTACCCATAATGCTGCATTGAAAATTCTAACATATCCTTTGTGAACATGTATGCGAGCTTTCTGCCATAACAAGAATTGGAATAGTTATTCATAGTGATTCATAGGGCTGTGCTCACTTTGAATTTGACCAAATGCGACCAAGTTATTCTGCATACCAAGGTAGAAATTTCTAATCCCACAAGCAATCAGTGAATATTTTCCTTTCCTCATCCATTTTCTTATTTTGTCTTCAACCTTGTGTATTTTCAGACTAAAATTTTTACTAACCTGATGCTTATCTCATTTTAATGTGTTTCTTACTTAATGAGGTTAAGCAGGTTTTCATATATTTATTGGCTCTTCAGGGTTTTTCTTCTTTGTATTTTAGATTCATATCCTTTGTCCGTTCTTCACTTGTATTATTTTATTTTTTTCTAATAGTTTTAAAATGTTATTCATACTCAAGACTATAAATATACCTGGAGTTTATTTTTTAACACTGGAATGAGGTGTAGGAGTGTCATTGTGTTTTTTTCCCATATGGAAAATAAACATTCCAACACCTTTTATTGAATTGGTTGTTTCCGTATGATTTTGTATTGCTTCCTCTCTCTTATTTCAAGGCTTTAGATATGGTCAGGTCTGCTTCCGGATAGGTAACCTATTCTCTTCTGTTTTGTTGATCTGTCTGTCCCTGCGCAAGCACCACATTATAAAAAAGCTGCTAAGTCCCACATGAACTTTCTTGTTAACACATAGTGGAAGTCATTTAAATGGGAGCTTTGTACTTTGCCTCCTCCCACCATGTTTTCCCTAACAATATAAAATGAACACTTTTTCATATCATTGTAAGAATCGGAAAGTTGTTTGTTTTTTTTTTTTAATAATGTTGCGTGACCATGCTTGTATAGATGAACTTGTTACTTACATAGCCAGTCTCTTGTTTAACACTGTTCTTCTGAGAAGGCTTCCCAGATCATGGCTGCAGATGCTCACCCTGTCGCCCTGTCGTAGTGCTGCAGATTCCCTCCACCCTGTCGGAGGAGTAAGGGGGGAAAGCCTGTTCTTGAGAAGCTACAGAGCCCTGGGACCGTAGGGGCTGTTGCTGATTTGCCTGGAGATAGGTGTGACCAGGTGAAGAGCAGGTGCGTGGGCTTTTAGTCCCCGCTTCAACAACTCTCTGCTGCCCACTCGTGGTGCCTGGTGGGACAGCGGGCGAATTTTTTTTTTTTTTTGAGGGCAGTTTTTTAGATTCAGTATTTGTTTTCTGTCCGTGAAGGCTGTTTGTAAAAGAAGCATTTTAAAGAGAACACAACCAATGTACGTTAATTAGTCTACACATCATTTTGTGTGTATCTTTTTGCAGTCCTGGCCTGCGTACTCCTAGGCAGGGGCTTTCACACGCTCCAGTGTTGGCATTTCTTCTGTTTTGTTTCCTTTCGTATTTAGCAGTTGGGAAGCCACTTTTGTATTACATCTATTATCTTAAATTGTTTATTACTCTGTTACTTTTTAAAGCGGAAGTGTACTCAGAGGCCCAGGAAATTGTGTTTTGTCATGTTTGTACAGCTGGTTTCAGAGACAGGATTTGATCTCTTCTTGACTCTGACTGAGGAATTCTGTCTCCCGGATTACCTCTTCTCTCTCACTCTCGTTAAAATGGTTTGGGCTTAAAAATCTGTATTGTTGGGGCGCCTGGGTGGCTCAGTCGTTAAGCGTCTGCCTTTGGCTCAGATCGTGATCTCAGGGTCCTGGGATCGAGTCCCACATCGGGCTCCCTGCTTGGCAGGAAGCCTGCTTCTCCCTCTCCCACTCCCCCTGCTTGTGTTCCCTCTCTCGCTGTGTCTCTCTCTTTCAAATAAATAAATAAAATCTTAAAAAAAAAAAAAAAATCTGTATTGTTGTCTGACTTGGATTAGGCAGCACCGAAGATCTGCTCTTTTGTCTGCAACATTGAAATGCTTTGGTTTCCTGCTCTAACTACTCTAGGTTCAGCTTTACTTGGACTTTTTCTATATGTTGTTCTTGGGTTGAGATTATTATTATTATTATTTTAAGATTTTATTTATTTGAGAGAGACAGTGATGAGATAGTGAGAGAGAATGCACAGGTGGGGAGGAGAGGGAGAAGCAAGCTCCCCACTGAGCAGGGAGCCCATTGTGGGGCTCGATCCCAGGACCCTGAGATCATGATCCCAGCCGAAGGCAGACACTTAATTGACTGAGCCACCCAGGTGCCCCTTGGGTTCAGATTATTTTCAGTGCCATAAAATTGACATCTTTCAGAAGTCACAAAAGCAGGAAGAAATAGATGCCCTTTGTTATTTCAGATGCCATGACCTGCACCTTTAATCCTGTTTGGCCAGTGGTATCGTGCCTTCTACTTTGACGTTAACATATAAGATCCTGGGGCATTACTATAGAAGTGAGAGGGAGTGGCTAAATATTGATTAATTGTATGTTGATAACATGAATTTCACAAATTGTTTTCCCAAAAGGTCATATGAAAAGCTGCTAAGTTGTTTTTGCCATTAAATGAACATTAGATTCATCATTCAGTTGAATTTGGAGAGTCAAGTTCTTATTTT